ATTCAAAAGGCGGAGGTTACGATTAAGGAGGTCCCGGACATCAAAGTCCCGACTCAGGAAGAGCTAAAAGCCATATATCGTGCGCAGCTCGAGGGTGGCAGCGCTGCTTCTGTTCCAAGCTTGAACGGACCCCCTACTACCCAAGAAAAGAAGGATACAGCTCCAGAAACAAACCCCACGCAATCGACAGCTAACCCTCCTACGCCGCTTCCATCCAATACCCCTAGTAGGACAAGGCACGAGTGGTACCAGTCTAATGATAGCGTGGTGATTACCATATATGCGAAAGGAGTTCCCAAGGACAAAGCAGCCGTCGACATCCAGGAAACTTCGGTTAGAGATTCGCTGACCTATACCCCGTAAAGCATTATGCATGTGTGACTAACTTACTCTAGTTTTCTATTACCTTCCCTCTCCCATCGGGATCCGAATTCTCCTTCGTTCTGGACCCTCTGTTCGCCCCGGTCGATCCATCCTCATCAAAATTCAACATAATGTCTACCAAAGTGGAAGTCACTCTACGCAAGCAATCAGCTGGTAGAAAGTGGGCAACTTTAGAAGGCACCGGCCAGCAAGAAGAGAAAATTTCCTCGATTGGAGCTGCTATTTTACAGGATACCTCTAACCAAGCAAGTCAGCCTATCAAAACTGAGAAGGCTCCTTCGTACCCAACATCCTCAAAATCCGGACCCAAGGATTGGGATAAGGTCGTGTCCAACATCCAGAAAAAGGAGAAGAAAGCGAAGAAAACCGAAAAAGGGGGTGATTCAAAGGAAGATGGCAAGGAAGATGATCCTGACTCTGATCTATCAGACTATGGGTCCGGGGATGCTGTCGATTCGTTCTTCAAGAAATTATACGCCAACTCCGATCCGGATACCCGACGTGCAATGACTAAGAGCTTCTATGAGAGTAACGGAACCGCATTGAATACTAATTGGAGTGAGGTCGGGAAAGGCAAAGTCAAGGAGCACCCACCATCCGATGACTAGTTATTGATACAAAGATAACTACCACAGGAGGCTCTACCTGTCTAGCTGGTAAAACACAGTTCCGATTCATGGCTATACGATAATTTACGAATACATTGATACGGCGGCTCTAGTTATAAGGCAAAATCAAGTTTATCTACATTTATTGACATGGAGGCGTTGCATTTTCCTCAAATCAAGATGTATTATCAATTTAATCACGGATAATAATACAAGCGGATAGTTATACCATTCACTTCTTAAAATGAAGAGCGGAATATAAGCCAAAGTTAGTGAAGAATGCGGTGCGGTCACTTATTCAGTATGCTCGTCTCTGTTAGTTCGCTATTGATCATCGGGCGCATGTAAATACGGGTTCCGTAAAGAACAACACGACCACTGACTTAGAAATTGTCAGATTCATCTTTATTTCGATACATAATAAATTGTGAAAAGATAGCCAAGTCCATGAACAGAGTACCCAGGCTCCCTAGCAACCAGGAGGCATTGACAGCCATATATCGTCCGTATATACTTCGTCGCTCTCCAGGTAGACACTTGCCATCTTTGCCCTGGCAAACAGGCGAGAAAGCAAAGATAGAGAGGACATATGTCAGATTGCCTATACATGCAAACAAGAAAAATAGCAGTGATACTCCTTCAGTGCTCTTTCGGCGCCAATTGAGCAGTAGTTGAGGGATTCTGCTAGCAAGGTAGAACAAAGCACAAAGATATCCAAATATTTGGCCCGTAATATCGAATTGGAGCGAGCTGTCTTGTTTTGGAAGATCATGCCCCTTATGGTGTCTCTTCCTCGTGGTGGCGCTGACATACCACCCTAGAATTCCTGCAGCACAAACGAGTGTGATGCTGAAGGTGTTGAAAGCTATAATTTGGAAAGTTGATGAAGGACGGGGTGCGGTTTCGACGATTTCTTTCCTGAGAGGCACTGCTGGGGAGAGATGGGTTCCGTCAACGGCCATAATATGGCGCCGCAGCGAAGAGACTGAAGTATGAGATTCACGTCTTTGTCTGGTAGCTGGTCTACCATTTGAGCCGTTGTGTTCCCTCTCTGATCCGTTGTGTAGCAACGGTGTCCGTTCTGACGATGGTACTGTTTGGGTGGCATTTAAAGTCGAAGAGCTGGCTCTTGTGGCTTCCGTGGCCTCCGGCTCTGGGGGGTTGGTGATCTCTGGAACACTAAGGCCACGGTAGTAGAGACATTGGCCAAGTAAGACGATGTCTGCAATAGTGTAATATACCGCTAGTATGACCATAGTAGGTAAGACACCTTGCATAACCGCTCCGATAATATTGAAGACATCTCCGGCGAGCCAAACGATAAGGAATTCTAGGGAGAGTCCATCCGCGGAGCTTCGTCGAAAGTTTTCGATTATCTGGGGAGAAAACACAACTACCCAACAGGCTATTGATATGGACCTAACAGATATGTCAGCATTTGAGCGTTAAAGGAGGCTCTTCTCTCAATTAGTTTTGGGTCAAGTAGACACGCCAAACACAGCATATGGGATATGAATCCAACAAGTTAATGATCACAACCTACCCGCAAATCCCGCTTAAAGCTTCTATACTCGTTGCAGAGTTGAGAGGAAGCATTCTTACCCACGGAGCTAGGATGGTTAGCTAAGGAAAAAAGAAAATGAAATTCCTCAAGAAAATAGGTTCACAGGAACTGCTATCTCCCGTATATAAAATCGCTTTTATTCTCTGGCTTTTGATCTGCTAAAGAGCTGAATCCATGATAAACAGGTTGGCAATGAAAAAAAATGACTTTCCATGGAAAATGTCAAATGCCAAATGTCGACGTCATTTTCACGTGACTGTATCTTGGGCAAGGTTCCCAAGGTTCCGTGGTGAGCTCACCAGTGGAAAGAAACAAGTAGAAAGATATATAAGAAGAGCTAAGGGGGTGGGTTCATGGAGGGGGTGTGACATCGTCATGGTTGGTATCGCTAACAACGTCTTTCCACTCCTCCAATAGGTCAAGGGTGTCCTTGCATTTAGCCCGCATCAGCTCACAGGCTTCTGCACCCAGGGCAACTCGGACTGGAATCTTCCGGCCAGCAGCACAACCAGTTTGTGTGAGAATATCCACAATGATCTTACTACCCTTTACCAAATCGCCGGGCTGTTTATGGTCTTGGCTATTGCTTTCTTCGATAGCTGCCCTGGTAGGGGTGTTGTCGTAATCCGGAATGGGATATAGTGCAGCAAATCGATGGCCAGCAGCCAGTAGATTCGACCGGAAGTCACCAGGCTCAAGAGAGGTGACGGAGATTCCGAATGGTTCTAATTCTACGCGGAGAGTCTCTGTGGCTCCTGAGAGAGCTTTCTTTGTCGCGGAATATAGCCCTCCCCCGGCCGTGTTCGTCCAAGAACCAGCACTGGATGTATTGGCGATGACGCCGGAGTGTTGCGACCGCATATAAGGTAGGATCGCACGGATCACGTTCAATGGCCCAAACACGTTTGTATTGAAAAGGGCATAAGTCTCCTCCGGACTGTAACGGGAGTGTTAGGAATTGCATTCCCAGGGGCTGGTAGTGGCTGGTAGGAGATATCCTACCTTACTTCCTCCAAAGCACCTTGCTGGATGTACCCAGCATTGTTGACAAGAATATCAATGCGTCCGTGAATGTTGTAGGCCTCCCAGACGAGACGTCTGATGTCATCAAGGCTACTTGTGACGTCGAGCCCGAAGACATCAGCACCGGCTTCCTTCAACTTGCCAATCCTCTCGAGCTTCCGGGCCGTCGCAATCACTTTATCACCCCGTCTTAGAGCTTCGAGTGTCATCTCCCATCCAAAGCCGGAGGAGCAACCCGTGATAAACCACACCCTCGGAGCCATGTTCGCCGAGAGACAGGGAAAATACAAGTGAGAAAAACCGAAATTCTTTCAATCTTTGCCATTCAAAAGGATGAAACTAATGGAGTTTATATATCAACCGTAGTTATCGTCCTGAAGGCGCATTCCTCCGTCTTCCAAGGATGTTTTGTATGTTGTCCACATCAAACCCTCGGGTCATTCGTCAGAGTTGCGGGAGGATCCAAGAGATCAAGAGCAGAAGCGGGATTTCTCCTGTCCAACGTAATATCTCGGTCAGCTAGATTTTCGCCCTTTCCCGACAGTCCATTGGAAGAGAAACATAGGCTTTGGTGCACTATGGAACCCTAAAACAAAACCCGCAGAGTCGCACCCGGAACATCCCCGGAGGCGTATTTGGTTATGACGGTAGAGGCGGACATGTGGGCATGTCTACACCATTTTGAGGCGTAGGATCCTGCGGTGTCGAGCGTCAAAGACGCTTGATGATCTCTCGATGTCTTCAGTACGGAGCAGAGGAAGTTGTGACGTCGTCACTCCCGAGTTCATTCCCGACAAAAGCGGCCAAGAGGCTGACGGAACGGAGATACTTTACTCCTTCAATATGTGCACGGACCATGCTATTTGATATTGTGGCTACGTTTATACAGATCTAGATCCTATATTATCATGCATATGTTACTATACAGAGGCTCTAAAGGGCCTGTCCGCTCATGCTGGCTAGGTAAAGTCTTTGATATACACCTCCCAGGGATATCAGCTGTGTGTGGGTTCCGGCTTCGACGATGCGACCTTCACTCATGACATAGATCCGGTCTGCTTTGACAATGGTACTCAGACGATGAGCAACAGTAATCGTCGTGCGTCCCTTTTTGGCTTTCTCGAGAGCTTGTTGAATGCTTGCTTCAGACTGTGAATCCAATGCAGATGTGGCTTCATCTAGTAGTAAGATCTTAGGCCGTCGAAGGATTGCGCGAGCGAGTACGACACGCTGCTTCTGGCCAACACTGAGCTGATTGCCCCTGCTGCCTACTTCTGTGTTGTAGCCTTCTCTATAAAGCGAAATATTTGGTCAGATCCATAGAATGTACACGAAAATACGGGTAAAGAACTCACGGAAGACTGATGATGAAGTCATGGATATTGGCTTCACGACAGGCATGATAGATTTCCTCATCAGTTGGCTTTTCATTATCACCCAATCCCAGAGTCAGATTCATTTTGAGTGTGCCGCTAAAAAGGTTAGGCTCCTGGCTGACTAGTCCTATGCATCTGCGGTACTCTGACAGGCAGAGAGATCGGATGGGCTTGGAATCCACGAGAACCATTCCATCAATCGGGTCGTAGAAGCGCTCGATCAGTGAGATGATAGTGCTTTTTCCGGAGCCCGTAGCACCCACAAAGGCAACGTTTGCCCCTGCAGGTATATTGAAGCTCACTCTATCTAGAGCATGGTGATTTGGGCGTGAAGGATAGGAGAAGCTGACCGAGTCAAAGCTGATGTCGCCGCGCATTGGGACCAGTTTCTCTCCATAAGGGGATGATGGGTCTATAAGCGACTTTCGCGTTAACAGGCGTTGCAGAGATGCGGCAGCTTGCTTTGCTTGACCGATATTTGGAGTCCATGAGAATACTAAGCCCGCAGAGAAGGCGCTCATGAGCATCGTGGACTGAACAGCAATCGATTGGAAGAGGGTATACTCTCCACTAAGGATGAGCTGGCCACCATACCAAAAGCTGAGAGCCATACAGGCATAATAAGCTGACTGTGTCAGGGCGTACATGAAGGAGGCTTTGAGATTTGCAAACAGGGCGTCTTTTTTAGTCCCGTTGAGAATCTCCTCGAACTCTGCCAATGCAATATTCTCCCGAGTAAGGGCAGCGATAGTTTGGATACCATTAAGTGTCTCGCCTGCAAATTCGGCAGCTTTATTGGCGAACAGCTCATTGTTTCTCTCAAAGTCGCCAACAAGTAGGATCCCAAAATACCCCCCTCCCATCATCAGGGGAACAACCGCAAAACACACAAGTGCCAACTTCCACCCAAGCGCAAATCCAAGTGTGATTCCAGAAACAAGTGAAGAGATACAGATAACGATGGCGCCCAAAGCGCTGCCACTCAATCCTGTTAGGTCGGTGGCAGAGTTGGAGAGAAACCCAGACAAGGCTGCAGCGGAATTTTCCTTCTTATCAAAGAAAGAGATATCCATTCTCAAGTACTGGCTAAGGGCGAGAGACCGGACTCGTTTCGTGAGATGCTCTGAGCTGAATGCAAAAGTAACACCTTGAACCGCGAATCCTATCAGCATCACAATTGCCAGTGCAAAAAACATCCATGCATAAAAAGCTGCATCGGATAGGATCTCATCTGCGTGGTCCAGAGGCTGTGAGATAGAGGTTATGGCTTTACCAAAAAGAAAAGCAGATGCTGGTTCTTCAAATCCCACAATAATACAACAAATGAGTCCCATAATCAGCCAATGCGATTCTCCCTCATTAAGTCTGAAGATAAACGAGATCATAGACCAGAGTGAGGACGAAACTATGGATTTTGCATCCCCATCAATTGCCATGGCTTTGTGTATTCCTCCGGTTTCAGGGGGACTTTCAGCTCTTTCGTGAGTCGGGGTGATATTTGCTGTTCCAGGAGTCCCTGAAGATACTGGATGGTCCTGATCTTCTATGTTTTGTGCCTCCACCAAGTCATAATAATATGATTTGGCAGCCAGCAAGTCCTCGTGCCTTCCACTCTCGACTACCCGCCCTGCATTCAGAACAACGATATTATCCGAATTGCGGATCGTGGAGAGACGGTGGGCAATAACTATAGTGGTCCTCTTGCTGTCTTCTCCTGCCATAGTCGACAAAAGCCTCGCTTCTGTCTCACTGTCAAGTGCCGAAGTCGCCTCATCTAGAATAAGAATCCGAGGATTTCCAACCAAAGCTCGAGCGATGGCAATCCTTTGAAGTTGGCCTCCAGAGAGCCTCGAGCCTCGTGTACCAACAACTGTGTCGTATCCATGGGGAAGCCGGTCAATAAAATCACTTGCTTGAGCGATATCGGCGGCTTTATATACTGCTCGTTCCCGTTCGAGTGAAGAGGCTGTTTCCCACTGAGGCCCAGTGAACCCACAAGCAATGTTTTCGAAGATGGACCTATTGAACATGAATGATTCCTGTCTCACGACTGCAATCTGTTGACGAAGCCAGCGAAGTTGGTAATGAGACAGATCCGTCCCGTCCAAGAGGATACGCCCTACCAGGGGATCGTAGAAGCGTAGGAGAAGATTTGAGATGGAGCTTTTTCCGGACCCAGAGTGTCCTACAATAGCCGTAGTTTGCCCCATTGGAAACTTGATGCTCACATCTTTCAATGTCACAACGTTTGGCCGACATGGATAGATGTGCTTCACACTGCGAAGCTCCAGAGTGCTATTAAAACGCTCTGGTATGTACCCCTCATCTGAAGACGAGTCTATTGATGACACGCGGTGTATAATTCTCAAAAGGCGGCCGACTCCCGCCGTAGCCGCAGCAAATGCTTCCAAGTTCGAACCAACGCCCAATACGCAGAAGGCAGCCGCTTTGGAGATCATTGAGATAGCTACAACTGAAGTAAAGGGTGTCTTCCCTTCCGTAAGTCGAATGGAGCCCTGCCAAAATGCTAGTGCAACATTGAAATAGCCACTTGCGATGCAGATGGTGATAAGCATTTGGTTGAGTGAGGAGAGAACAAATCCATGCTTGGCCGCTTGCGTCAAAAATTTCATGTACTTTCCATGGATATATGACTGCATACCCAAAGAAGTTGCTGTTTTGATAGAACCGAGTGCTTCTTCTACTACAGCTGACCCAGCAGACGAAGCCTCGATGCTGCGACCGCTATATAGAACGGTCAATTTGGTACCAAGGTAGAGGACTCCATAACCCAGCGCAAAAGACCAGATCATTTCGAGCATCAAAACCCAATCGAGAACAAAACACACTACAATAGTAGTGATGAACGAGCCAAAGGCGCTAATTGTTTGGGACAATTTGGAGGAGATCGCATTCTGTATTGCCTTTGTGTCGTCTGTGAGATGGGAAAGGATATCACCAGATCCATTATCGTCGAAAAACGCCATGTTCTGCTTCAAGACGGCGGCGAAGTAGCGCATCTTAATTCTGTGTGTGATTCTGGCTCCTGCAAAGTTGAAGCCAGCCGTCGAGATAAACCATGTCACCAGGGCGGTAATGAGAATATAGACATAATATACCACATATTTGTCCAACAACGGCTTCACGCTGTAGCCATTAGACTCGGCCCTGGCAAATGCAAGGATAATCCGTGAGCTGATAAGCTGTAGTTGAGGTAAACGTGTTAGTTAATATCAATTTTCATTCAAAGGGTAGGAGAGCAAGAATTACCGGTGTAAATGGCACCAGGCCACCCGCAACAACGGCGCATACAGCGCAAATAGCGAGAAGGACGGTTTCGTACCAGGTCGCATGGCTAAAGATGCTGATAAACGATGGTTTCACTTCTTCCACTCGAAGCAGAGATGCCAGCACTTCTTGCTCAGTAGCAGCCACATCTGTCAGGGTTCCATATGTACCAGATCTTTCACCTTCAGGTAACAGTTTTTTCCGAGAAGACTCTCCTTGCCCATTGTTGCCGGCCATGGGGGCGCAAATTCTCAGGAATGACTGACAGTATCAACTGTTTAGGACCGACGATTGTGAGTTCGTTCATAGAAAATATATAGTACTCAAGCAATGGGGTATCATGGAAAAGACAGGCCCAGGATGATAAGTGTCCTCATTTATTATTATCAATCAGTCTTCCGTTATCTCAAGAACTAGGTAGTCAACGGGTTCAACTGGTGGCGATTGGTCCAGATTGTGGCAGACCTGATTCGCATTGCTGGGATGTGTTCGGCGAGCCAGACTGGGAATAGAGCTCCGTTTGTCGTTCTGGGGTAAACTAAAAGTATACGATGCAGTCGTGTGAATATCCTACCTATCAGGTAGCAGGCAGCCTTGCAATTCGATATGAAATGGATATTTTCTACCCCTGGTCGGGCTGGCTGAGTCGGAGGCCCAACCTGGCTAACCGCTCGTAGTCAGCTGAGTGTATGTTGGTACATAGTGTGCATATGCCCCTGACGAAAATCCTTCGGTTGTCCGAGTGCCTGATTGATATCAATTTAGCGAGGCAGGGAGGATTTCTAGGTCTGGGATTATCGAGCTATCAGTGTCCAGCGGGGCCTGCGGAAACAGAGGCGGATTTACGTACATTGCTGAATTGGTATATTTCTATATTGTATCAACATCTACAAAGCATCGGCCGCCTGGGCTTTGAATTGCTCTATGGCTTCGCGCTTCAGCTGTCTTTTGCTCTTTACAGGGCCATTGCCATTGCCCTCGGTCGGGGAGATCTTTGACAGCCATTTCTCCCTGCAGCGTTTCTCATCTTCCTCTGACCAGGCGCAGGGAAGAATCGCAAATACTAAGTACGATGTATGCGTTTTGAGCTCAGGCTCGGATCGGTGAATAAGCGTCCCTTGCTTGTACTGAGGAACCGAGGGCTTTGGCTTCCACGTCTTTTCAGCTCTCGCAGGTGCTGATTCGGCGGAACTTTCCTCTTTGATCGGTTCTGAGGCGGTTTCTGTGTACTCTGATTTTGTGCCATTCGCGTCATCCTCGTTGCCTTCATCTTGGGCAGCCTTCTTGCTGGCGTACTCTGCTGCATTTCTGATCTGCTTCTCGCGGAACGCCTTTGCACGCTCTTCATGCGTCCTCAGCCGGCCAATTGCCTGATCTACAGTTTTCGGATCCGGTGTTGAAGCATTCTTGTGGTAGGACTCTACTCCGTACCGTTCTCTTCGGACTTCTATCTGCCTATGCACAACTTCAACCATTGATATCGAGAGCCACGAGTACCGTCGAAGAGCACTGATAGTCTCCTGTACCTGCTCTAGGCAAGGTGAAAAAGTGCAAATATGAACCGGTGAAGTAGGATCTAGCGGCGACTCCTTCCCATCGGCAGGCTCCCTGACTAAGTGCTTGAGGGCTTGCCAGGGAGCAGGAAGATCCAGAAAAACAGCATTAGCTCGGGGTGACTCGTTGCTAACTAGGCCATCTGCCAGCAAGAATCCATCCGCGCAAACATCTCGATGGTTCAACCTGACGACTCCATCCAAGCCATGTTCTCCTAGTTCTCTCTTGATGCTCTCCGCACGCTGCGAGTGAAACTCGAAGCTGCACACCTTACCTCGTTGGCCATCGTTCGTGCCATTAGGATAACCATTAAACACTGCCCTCGCAGCAGCATGAGTAAACGAGCCACTACCAGCACCGGCTTCTATAATCGTGCTTCCAGGCCGAACGCGCAGCCGGTGCAGGATGTAACTGCTGTCCGGAGTATAGACCACCTGCGTCCGATGGGGTAGCGAACTGGTCCATGACTCTGGCGTAGGCCGTAGTAGGTGTATAAAGCCGCTTGACGCAGTGACCGCCGTCTTATTCGCAGATTTATCCTCCGATATATCGGCGTCCTCTGCTTTTCGTTTCAATGGGTTCGACCCTTTAGCTGCCTTTGGCCGGCGTCCTCGAGAGCCGGTATCAACTTTTGAAGCAATGATCTGGGAACCCCACGGACTGCCAATGAGCGTACTGTGAGGAAATGAGCCGAACCTCGTCGTCGTGACCTTGCCTTCGTCGTATCCCAGATCTTCGTCGTCGTGAGTCTTGAGCACTGTGGCAATTGCATGGTCGCGGCGGAGATGCAGCACCGCGAGCGAGTCAGCCTCAGCAGTCGGCCCGGGCGTGAGAAAGGGAGACGCCATCGTTTCAATTGAGCCTGGACGTCCTTCAACGGCTTTCTTCTCTCCTGCTTCTTCTGCTTCTTTCGTTGATTTCAACTATAGTTCAACATCTCGGAAGCATCAAAGAGAAAGTAAAGAAGAAAAAAAAAACACCGAGACAAACAGTGCAAACTCCAACGACTCTTCGTCTTTTCTTCTTCTAGATGCGCAAAAGAGTCATAGAGTTGACTCAGCGCAGCGACTGCAGCAAGAAACATACATGAACTTCCTCCGCCAGAGCCTTCGTCTCCCTCGAGCCACAATCACAGCTGCTTCGACGCACCGCCTTCGACACATACCCGGACTCTGCAGAGCATTCACGATATCACCGTCTGTCACTATGGCAGCTCCCCGCGAACAGCCTCCATGGCAGCAGCCAGCACCCCACCAAGGGCTACAGCGAGAACTACCACCGCTAAAGATTTGGAATTCGCTGACCAGGTCGAAGACTCCGTTTGTGCCTCTGGACCCCGAAGGAAAGAAGGTAACCTGGTACGCTTGCGGTCCTACAGTGTACGATGATGCGCATCTTGGGCACGCGCGCAACTATGTCAGCGCAGACATTGTCCGGCGCATCCTCAGGGACTACTTTAAATTCGATATCAACTATATAATGAATATAACAGATGTGGATGATAAGGTAAGTCAGTTGCTCTGGCCTAGCTTTAGTTAGTAGCTACTGACCTTTTATCATTTAGATTATCACTAGAGGTAGACAGCAGCATCTATACAAACAGTTCAGTGCCGAGCACCCATCAATGGATCAAGAGCTCTTGGATACCGCCAAAGCTGCCTATGGAGCTTATATCACCAAGAATCTCCCACTAGTACCAGTATCGACGCCCACACATGAGTTCAAAGATACTGCTGAGAATGTATATGCGGCCGTGCTTGACGGGAAGCCCCTTGAAGGCAATTCAAAAGCAGGCGAACCAGAGGCTAAAGTTAAAATGTATATAAAGACACTGTCTGTCGCTGCTGAGGCGCTTACGGTAGCTTCAACTCCCGATGGCAACATATCGGTAACTACCTTCTACGACAAGACCCAGGATATACTATACCCTTACCTTGACACGCTTAAAGGATCATCCATCCCAGGCTCTGACCATTCGATATTTACCCGCCTGACTAGAGAGTATGAAGATCGATTTATGAAGGATGTACGAGATCTCAATGTCTTGGATCCTGACGAAATCACCCGAGTGACGGAATTCATGCCTGAGATAGTAAGTTTTGTGGAGCGCATAATCGATCATAAGTTTGGATATGTGACTCCCGACGGGTCTGTATATTTTGATATTGAAAGTTTCGAAGCTGCTGGAAATAACTATGCTAGACTCGAGCCTTGGAACCGGAATGATGCCAATTTACAGTCGGAAGGAGAAGGGTCTCTGTCTAACAAACAAGCTGAAAAGAAGTCTTCTGCTGACTTTGCTCTCTGGAAAGCCTCAAAAGCAGGAGAGCCAAGCTGGCCCAGTCCATGGGGAAACGGCCGCCCTGGCTGGCACATTGAGTGTTCCGCAATGGCCTCTTCCCGACTTGGAAAGCAGATGGACATCCATTCCGGTGGTATTGACCTTGCATTCCCCCATCATGACAATGAGATTGCTCAAAGTGAAGCATATTGGAGCCCGACTTGCTCACATGTGCAATGGGTTAACTACTTCATCCATATGGGGCATTTGTCCATTCAGGGGTCAAAGATGTCAAAATCACTGAAGAACTTCACTACTATCAGAGATGCCCTTCAAAGAGGCGATTGGACACCCAGGAGCCTCCGCATCGTGTTTCTACTCGGTGGCTGGAGAGACGGTATTGAAATTACGGAAGAGATTGTAAAAGCTGGCAACGCCTGGGAGGAAAAGGTGAACAACTTCTTTATCAGAGTCAAGGACCCATCGGTCAAGCTTCCTGAAACTACCCAAGACGAAGAGCTCCCTGCCGCTCTGAAGGCTGCTCAAGACAACGTTCACAAGCACTTATGCGACTCGTTCAATACGGCTGGCGCCATGTATGCCATTTCGGAGCTGATCACCAAGTTCAACAACACAAATGAAGCTGCCTTGAGTGCCCAAAATACACATGCCGTAGCCAAATGGCTGACCTCAATGGTCAATATATTTGGACTCAACTCTACCGCAGGGCCAGATAGCGAGAAGATCGGCTGGTATGGAGACGAAATCGCTGAGGAGGCAAAGCCCTACGTTTTCCCTCTCTCTACCATTCGTGATGCTCTTCGCCAGACGGCAATCGCAAAAACCGGCCTCACGCCTGATTCCATCAAATCTGTAGTGGAGGAAGGACGAAAATCCGTCAGCCCTGAGCTACTAGATCCTCAGCTCACCAATTCCTTCAAGGATGTATTCAACAATTTCTGCTCTAGTGCCACCGCTTTCACTGAATCCAACAACCTCTCGAAAGAGATCCTAGACCTCTGCGATACCCTTCGTAACACAAGCCTATTTGACCTCGGCGTCTACCTCGAGGACCGGGCTGATCTACCTGCGCGTGTACGCCCCGTCACACGAGACTTACTCCAGGCCAAACAAGAAGCAGAAACCAGGGCCAAGCAAAAGCTGCTGGAAAAAGAGGCTCGTGAGAAAGAGGCCGCTGAGAAGGCTGCGAAGGGGAAGATAAGTCCTTTAGAGATGTTCAAGACGGAAGCATACAGTGCTTGGGATGAGGATGGACTACCCCTAAAAGATGCAAAAGGTGAAGAGATTACCAAGAGCCAGAAGAAGAAACTCAAGAAGGAATGGGATAGGCAGAAGAAGGCGCATGAGACTTGGCTTGCTTCTCAAAAGACTCCATGATTTTAGACGGCTTAGCTTTTCCTTGTCTTCTCTTTTGTTTTTGCTTGCATTGGTAGCGCTTATTTTATAAACTACAGGCATTTACACTCAATTGATTATCTGGGTGAATAATTTCGGCGCCATCTTCATGCATATTTATTGTTTCTTTCTATACTCAATCGCTCGCAAGTGATAAGTAAACTAATGCGTATATTATTCAAATTGCCGAAACCAACGTTCTATTGAGCTAACAAGTGTTACTAGGATGGCCCGTTCTATTACTATACTCTATAAATTGGGCGTGATGACTCGTATCCGCCCCTCTATAGATGGAGAAATGACAGGTAGGCCTTCATCCGGATGTCTCCCTCGAATAACAGCCCTCTGGGCTCTCTTGATACCCTCCGCGGCCTCATCTAATAGCTGGCCACCGGCATCTCCACGACCATCGGCTTCAAATACTTGTAGCAAGAGATTCGTGTCTGTCATCGAGCCTTCAGCATCAAGAAGAGTCTCGCAACTCCGGAACCAGGAATATCCATCAAACCCTGATGCAATAAAATCCACCATGGCCACAGTATACATATCCCTGGGCTTTACATGCCGTGGTTTCCCATGTTTCGGCACATACATGATATCCCCTACCCGCTGTCCCTCCGGACGACTCCAGTCTACCAACATGGTAAGCCCTGATAGATGCAAGAAGCGTCCGTCAGTATGGGCATCAGAGACCGAGTTCTCTAAGGCAAGTGCCAGGATATGACCACTGACACGTTTAACAACAAAAGCGTTATCAAAAGGACTGATGTCAATAATATCCCTAATTCGTAAAGGTTCGTCTCGCCCTGGGTCGATGATTCTGTCACACCGGATAGCTCCGCTGTTGACAAAGGCAATTTCCGTGTTGTAAAAGGAACGAACCACGTCTGCGAGCATATTCCCCAGGTTCGATTCTCGGCCGCGGACAATTCGGGATCTTCCTTCAAGAGGGACAGCAGCCATTACCAGTGGCTTTTCTACCAGCTTGGCTATTTTGGCTTGTACATCTGCTATAGCCTTCATGGTATTGGGGCAGGGTGGTATATCCGCATAGTTCGGAAGGGACTTTAGATCTGCAAACTGGTATACTGTGTTTACAGTATATGAATTGGCTTCGTGTGAGTAGGTCGTATTTAAGAACCATTGAAGAAGAAAGGAGACATGTCAATCGGCGCTTACGTTTTGACTTCGATATAGATGACTTGCCGTCAGCGGATTTAGCAATCGTGAGACGCAGCACCGACAATCCATTCCAGTCAGTTCCGCTCTTGATGATGCGTATATCGTCTTCGGTGCTAGATACGCCGGTAGCACTGCCAGAAGTGGTGCCGGGGATTCGTGGGTCATTATTGAAGTCTGTGGAAGCTCTTTGAACGATGTCGTGGTCATGGCCACCAAGTATCAGATCAACTCTTCCACTTCCATCTTTGGTATTTTGCGAGACTATCACGTCCTCCGCCAGGCGCATATGGGTCAGTGCTATGACAAGGTCACATTTTACAGACTCCCGCAGATATCTTGCAGTGGTTTGGGCCACACTGGTAGGGTCACATATATTGCAACTGGGTAAGTGTTGGCAGTTTGATGGCCAGTCACTTGCCAACTCTTGTAAGTATGATACAATAACTAACCGAGAATGTCCAGGGAGGAATACAAGCTAGGTATAGGATGCACTTACGTTCCCGCTAGGCCAAAGAATCCAATTCTTAACCCATCAATCTCCCGAACGACATATTCATTCGCTAAGGCTAACAACTTGTCATCTCTTCTATGGATTGAAGGCTGGCCTCTCCGAAGCACGTTGGTAAGCATCCAGGGGAATTTAGTGATTCTTGAGAGCTCAATGAGGCGGGCTTCACCAAAGTCGAAGTCATGGTTTCCATAGCAAGCAAGGTCGATGTTCATGGCATTGAGAATCGTGGGTATATGCTCGCCACGAAGGACGGACGCCTCTAGAGACGGGGAGAAAGCGTCACCGCTGAATAGTCGGAGCTGCTGTTCAGGGGCAGAGACATCGTCGGTGATGTATCGTGGATCAGCCAGGACGGATGCAAAGCGTGCAACGTGTTCAGCGTCAGAGATGTGGTACTAAATTGAATACGAACATATCAGATGGTTAGATTCGTTGAATAGAAGTAAATAGTGATATACCACATCGTTGAAGTGTAGGAGAGTTATGTCCTTGGTTTGGGCCATGTCAAGTAAAATCTATTTTTACCCGAAACACGGGCGGGTAGCAAACCTCTCTCTCTTTTGATCCCTTTATTATCCTAAGTTGGTAGATAAGGATCTTTCTAATTTTATGGGTTTACAAAATGGAGTAGGGCAGTATCGCAGTATTGAAGCATCCTTAGCTATTTACCGTTTTGATGACTTAACAGGGGGTCATAAGGCTGTCATCATAGTCATCATGGACTCCCCTACGATCTAGGCTTAACTATCTGCAATGACAAACACAATATTCTACAATGGATTTAGCGTCTGATTCTCTTCATCCTGGAGCTTAACTAGCGGGTATGACTAGGTTTGATACCTAAATCCCCCTGAAAATCCGATGGTATACAACCTTCAAAGAAACAACGGAGCGCCTTAGTTGCCAATTAAGAGCCCACTCTTCTCTCCTTTGTAGTGCATTTTCTCCAGTAGTTATGTTGCATTCCGATCCATGCCTTTAATGAATAACTCTTGCTCCGTACCCTAATGGTCCGTTTTCGTAGGCTAATATTGGTCCTTTGTCATAGGCAGTGGCTTACGGTCGAGGCTGTCGTATATGAAAGCCGGAAAGCAAAATGAATGAAAAGAGTGAAGTAAAAGCCGTGAAGGTAGCAAACAAGTAGCATCCCCAATATATAAAGGGAGCAAGAGAGGCCACCTCATATCCTCCTCTTCTTCCAGCTTTATATCTTCTCTATTATTACATATATTCTAACTAGTTATTTATCTGGCCATACCCCTATAAGTCGCTACATTGCTTCAAGTTAATAATAATAGCTGCATACATCTAAACCAATACCACAAGCAGCCAACCACGTTTAACCCACAAATATTGCGCAGCATATCCCAGCACTACCTTGCTGATGTCCTGGTAGAGCGGCCTAGGACTCGTACTTCACGACGACACTGAAAGTGATGACTGACAACGGGGTATATATCACCCAAAAACTCCACCCCATTCCGTCACGCAGACATTAACATTTTAGACTTCATTGATTCCGGAAGAGGCAGAAACATGATACAGAGTGATATGCGCCGGCGCCAGGTGCGCCAACTACAAGAGGAAGCAAGATGAGAAAGAAGTAATTGATGTTGCGAATGCGGGCGTGCAGGCGTTTAAATGCCATAGAAGACCTTTCTAAGCCCAGCTTTCATCTAGACGTGGCAACCTCCTGCCTAGGAACCGGGCTAGACTTTCCGCCTGTAAACAATGCTCGAGTTATTGGGTATTCAAAATTCCAAAAACTCCTTTCGAACGGTGCCTCAAGCGAGGCTTAGAGGACATTGCGTGTGTCCCAGTCGGCTATAGGGGGGCCTGCCAGGCCTGTCGAAATGCAGGAAGACAATGTATTATTAAAGTAAGTGAGATTTCCGAGCAATTCCCGGGATTTTTTGTGTGATTTGCTAATAAATTGATAGAAACTATTCCATCCAGAAATACACGGAAGGAACATTGATGTTGACATCATAACTACTTTCTTAGACCAGGGTACGGCGGACTAAATGAACCATTAGGTCAAGATTATTATTCGCAATTCATGCTAGGCGTGTGACAATACAAGAAAAGGATATGAAATTCATCCAAAGGATTCGAGAGCATATGCTAGTGTCAAACGCCTGAGGCAAAAAGGCAAGCCCGCACTGATTGGCGCAGGAGGTGTGTTATATCTTCGACAGCGAGGTAGTCCGCCGTACCAGGACCTAGAGAAGAATGAATAAATTGCATATTGAGAGCCAAAGAGACAATTTAGAAAGTGCAACAAAATGAATTCCATGCTAATATTAGATACAATAACTACTTATGCCTACAGTCTTGCATGAATCAAGTCACCAACAGAGCCAGTACCCGAATTCTTTCCTCTCAATGCCCGCTGAGTCATCTCACGAGCAACAACCAAGAATGTCTTGACATAGTGCTCTACAATAGGCATGTCACTCTCAGTAGCCCACATAGGCAGCTTTATAGCACACTGATAAAACTGCAGCGCGTTTGGAAATTCGGTTGTAGGCTGCATTTTGGCCCATCGCTTGTTGCCGAATCTTGGAACAGCTTCATGGGAGTGGGTAAACAGTGGTAACTCGTTCAACAAACCTGTCGAACGAGGAATGTCCACCTCCTTTAGACCATGGACATCGACTAGTTCCCGGACAAACTCATCCCGGGTGAGACCTTCCGGCGCCTTGGAGGAATCGAATTGCATTACGAAGGCATACCAGGCATGCTTATCATGGCTGTTGTTGTTGACAACAGGCATTTTGAGAAAGGGAATAGAGCCCAGACCTTTGGCGACGTAAGAGGCGTAACGCTGCCGGTATTGGTCATGGGTTGGTAGGAGATCAAGTTGTTGATTTGCGAGGGCTATTGCTAGCGGATGAGCTCGCATGTTTAACCCTAGGCCAGTCACTATAGGAGAATGTAGAATTAGTGGTAGGTTCCGCTAAGAATTGATGTGAGGTACTTACGCCAAAATTTCCGTAATGGATGATCCTGCGGGACTTCCTGTTTCGCACGTTTGTTGAAGTGTCCATGAAGAATGGCTCGGGAGTAGTAATCCGTTGAATTGGTAGCTAGCACGCCGGCTTGTCCGCCCATAACATTCTTCTTAGCTTGCAACGACCATGCAGCCATATCACCCCAGGATCCAACAATCCGGCCATCGACAATGGCGCCATGAGCATGGGAGCAATCTTCTAACACTTTAATGCCCACCTTTTGAGCATTATCGACAACCTGGCGCATGCGACACGGTAATCCCCACATGTGCGTGACGATAACCGCCTTTGTCTTGGACGTGGCTCGCTTGAGTATTTCTTCTGGGTCAATGTTGCCATCTTCCAGGCTGTCACAGAAGATGGGAACAGCGCCGTATTGCATTAAGGGCGAGGCCGTCGCAAAGAAAGTGTATACGGGACAGAGAACCTCATCTCCAGGCCGCAGATCCAGTGCCTCAAACATATGGAGAATTGCTATCGTCCCTGAGCTGCACACAAGCGCATGTTTCAGGCCGTGCATTTTAAGCCATTTGTCTTCAAAGACTTCATAAATGTTGGATCTGTTGTAGATGGAGAGTGAGGAATGCATCTGGCGCACAACTGCATCCTCAGACTCTGAAGAAAGCAGTGGCCATACATGATGTGCATCTCCCAGAGAAGCCTGTGCATAACGTCCGACAGAGTTTTCGGAGGCAGTAACTGTCTCAGTGGCATTCGGATTGTTGTAAGCGCGGCGAGTAGCTTCCATCACCATGACGGTATCTCCCAGATTGGCGAGGGAAGCAGGGAAATCAGACCTCGCACCAGTGACCCAGGCAGAGAATTTCTGCAACATAGAGTTGATAATATACTTCTTATCAGAAGCGTCGTGGAAATGAAAGGTTTCGTTGCCATTGCTGTCTCGCAGCCTTACATCTTTTCCTTCCAACACAAAAGTGCCGTTTGTGCCAGTAATGATGAGACGTTCTTCGTTCCTATGGGCCACTCGCGAGAGGTGAATTTGGCCTATGTTCCGCTTTGCTGCTTCCCCGAAGTTCATGATGATGTTCGAAATGTCATCGCCCCCGTAGTCCTGATCAACTCGGATGCCCTTAGTATTTTGGGCGGTGATCGAAGTTGGCCTCCCGAAGAGAGAGACGACCATGTCCAACATATGGCAGCCCAAATCTTCCTACAGCAGGTAAATAAATGTCAGTACAGAGATATGATAAAATAAAGGTATAGTCTAGGGTTGCATACCGTAACACCAACATCGCTTGTTGCTCTCCACGTAGCGTCTAGTTCCGTGATATTTGCTGTAAGTGTTGCGGTGAACGAAGCAACCTGCCCGACCTGAGAAATAAGATCCCTGATGGCTAGATAGCGTGGCTCAAACCGTTTCTGAAAAGTTATGCCAATTTTGACGGGCAGTTTCTGGAGCTGATTATATTCTGCTAACGACTCCGCAACAGGCTTCTCTTTCAGGATCGGCACTCCTCTCCGAGCTAAGGCCCGACAGCATTCTAGATGGTACTGGTGCGGGACGCAGACAATCGCAAAATCTAGCCTCTGCTTGTTATTCTTCAACAAGCTGTCAAGATCTTTGTATACATTGATGTTCGGATGTTTCTGAGCGAAAGTCTGCCGAGTCTTCTCATTCGTATCGCAACAGGCCACCACTGTCCATGCCCTTGGATTCTCAAGGATAATGCGAAAATGGGTCTTGTATCCACGGTGGCCAATGCCAACCATAGCCACCTGAAGTGGTGACTTTCTCGCGGTGCTATTCATCCTCGTCCGCTTATCAAAGCAGGCCACGATGCTTGGAGGGTGATTGAACTAAGGTATAGATATTGCTATGTAGAGCCTGGAGAAATGGATGGTTGGGAATAGAGTCTCTCACAGCTCTATGGTGCGAGCCAGCGCAAGAGCTTATATGTAACATTATCTTTGAGGCCAAATGCTCCATACGTTGTCCCATCCTCTACCGCGTCGTTCCCGAAGCTACTACATAGTAGTACCGAGCTGAGGACAAGGTCCCTTGTCCTCTCAAAGAGACCCAACTTGAATCAGCACAAGCCTGAAGTGCTAGGTGCAGAGTGGCCAAAATGGCGAGTATAGTAACAGACGCATGACACTATCTTGTTCATCCGTAGCAGGGTATTTTCCTCCGTAACAAGCATCCATCTCAACGATGTTGTTGCTTTTTTTGTTTTTAGTTTGTCTTTTATTTTTATTTTTATTTTTATTTTGCTGGTGCGTCATCTGAGTCACATGACACATTGCTGACTCAACCTGGGTTCAGGGGCTCAGGGGTTCAGGGAGATGAAGGCTCAGGGGTAACAAGCAAGTTGGTCACCCTGCAGGGGTGACGACTACAGTTTCGTCCAAACGAGAAAATAGCTAAGTCTTAACATTATCATAATAGTAGTTGAATATATCAATTTTAGAGCTAAACAGTATTTATCATAACTGGGCTAGCTAACTAGTTAATTGGCTATGTTTATGAGCAATGCTACCTGAGACTGCATGTCAGGGTTCTCCAATACTTGCTCCATACTGATAGATATCCCGTTTGCTTGGTATCGTTTTGCAAGACCATAAGCAGCAATGAGGTTTCCCCAGACATTGTAAAAAGGAGTGCTCTCCGTCCAATATATGGCAAGTTGCTCTGGCTGACAGCCCAGTGCATCAGCCCAAGCTTCTTCTACCAGCAACCTTCGACCTTCACGCAGCTCTTTGGAAGAAAAGATGACAGCATGTGACGACTGTAGCCTGACGGGGTCCATATTACTTTGAGTGAGGGTGTCAGGGGATAACATGGGGATAGCAGGTAGCTCCATGATATCCGCTTTAGCCAGCTGCAGTGGATCATCTATATTGTCATGGAAACCACGTATATGCTCCAGCATGCGGTCCAGCATCTTTTGCGCCAAAGGTTCAGGGATAACATCCTTGCAAAAATCAAGGGCAATAAACGTCTTTTCAGGGCCAACAGGTGTGCTGAATATCGTGATATCATGCCGATCTGCTGGGGGCCGGATCTCATCGACCGTAAAGCTTTGCGTCTCGTCCAGCTTGAAACTTGTAGTTTCCTCGCCTAGGTTCTCGTATTCAACCAAGGTGCTGAGTCGCTCCCATGGTCGCCAGTCGGTACATTCCTCTACAATCCGCTTGTATTGGAAATTCTCAAAGCTGACAGCTTCGAAGTACTGTCTCTGTATTTGCTCTAGAAGCTGTCGCCGTGTCATGTCATTCCTAATTTGCACTCGGACTGGGATATTGTCTATGCACGCGCCTGCTACATGCTCGACTCCCGTGTACATAGTATTCCGACCCCAAATAACGGAGCCAAAGACGACATCATCGCTACCGGACATTTCTGCCAGAACCAAAGACCACGCTGCCTTTATTGTAGTGCCAATGGTAATCTCTGAGTCTGAGCGAACGGCAGCTGTGTCAATCATGGTATCGACTTGTCCATCTAGCACATATTTCCAAGGTATGCTGGTGTGGCGGAAAACGGAGGTCATTGCAGAACCAGCCAACGTCTTGCGCCAGAAAGCTCTTGCGGAATCCTCATTATGTGTGGCAGCAAAATGCGAATATCCGAGGAATGAAGTAATTGGATAAAGATCTTGATTATGAAATGCAGTGCCAAGCTCCCTGCATAGGCGGATGAGGCTCACTCCGTCGTACTGCAGATGGGACGCACGCATAACCATCCGTTGAACTGTACCGTCCAAATCACGAATTAACCAAAACTTAAGTAGCGAGTGAGAGATATCCACTGGTAAGGGGGTATCAGCTTCAATTACCGCCGAGGTAGCCTGAGGCACATCTTTCCTGTACATGCAATGTACAATATCAACTGGAAGCCGCTTCAAAGTGACTTGGTAGACTTTTCTCTGGAATACCAAATAGACTGTCCGCAAGATATCATGATAAAGTATCAGCTTTTCCAGGGCTTTCTGAAGATTTAGAGCGGGAACACCTGCGGTAGTGAAGTCAAAGGTGATGTAATTTGTACCTCCACGGGTCTTCAGCGAAGACCAGGCAAGATTTTCAATCTGATAATCAGTTGCTAGACCAGCATCCTGTATGTCATTAACATCCACACCCAAACGGGGTGCTGCTATTCTGGAGACAAAGTCTTCGCGCATGCTAGTAGACAAGGCGGAGAAGGGCTCGTATACTGGGATACCGTCTGGATGTATTTCTGGGTTCTGCCTTTCTAAAATAGCAGATAATTGGTTCAACCGAGGGTTAGAAAGAACCTCTGCCACAGTGACCTGAAGATCTTCACGACGAGCTGCCACAGCGAATCTCATAGCAAGGATAGAGTTTCCACCCAGCCAGAAAAAGCTATCCTCTCTGCCAATGTTATTCACTTCAACACCAAGTAATTCCGACCAGAGAGAGGCTACCTTAGCCTCAATCTCTGTTTGAGGTGCACTCTTTGGCTTGGCCTGAGATGAATACGCCAACAGCTCAGATTCTGACAAAGGCTCGCAAGCTGCTTTGAGCAACTTCCTATCTGCCTTCCCTGAGGTATTCGTCGGTATGTATGCCAGGGGCAGATATAGTGAGGGTATAAAATGAATTGGTAGATGCTTAGCCAAATATTCCTCGAGTTCTGCAGCCCTTGCTCTGGATCTATCTGATGCAGCTTGCAATAGGCCATGAGTCGGCATATCAATGTAATCACTGCTCTCATCCAGAAAGGCAACGAGCATAGGTTGAGTTTGACGATATGAAGGAATAAGGGCTTCTACCACTGAACCAGAGTTCGACCTGCCGAGCATTTGATTTATGTGACATTCAATTTCGCCGAGCTCTATCCGATGACCTCGGATCTTGACTTGGGTGTCTCGTCGACCAACAAACTCCAAGCTACCGTCTGCAGTATACCGAACAAGGTCGCCAGAATAGTAGATTCTCTGATGCTTGGCTTCACATTCCATCCATGGTATACAGTTTCTGAACGAATCTGCGTTGCGGGTATCATTCTCCAAGTATCCTCTAGCAACAGTTGGTCCTTGTAGAGCAAGTTCACCGACAGTACCTATCGGTGCAAGCCTTTCCCGGTTATCGGTGCGGACAATCCACGCATTGACTGCTCTAAGGGGCTTGCCTAGGTGGCTAGGGTCCCGGGTCCCTTTAGACAGCAAATGTGCAGTCGCTCCAACGGAGTTTTCTGATGGTCCATAGAGGTTGAAGAGTTCGACTACATCTGCCCAGGCTTCGACAATATCATCACTGGTCATTTCCCCCCATGTAGCAAGACTTTTGAGAGTCGGGACGTCCACGGGCCGCAGTGTCCTGGCAAGAGTCGGTGTCATGCCCATCCAGTTGACCCGGAAGTCGTTTATGACGCCTGACAGGTCATTGAGACGGCTTTCTTCAGTGGGGATGCAGACACAGGCACCCGCGAGCAGCGTTGTGACAACTTCACTCAAGAATGCATCAAAGCTATGACTAGCAAACTGGAGAACTCTGGATTCCTTAGTTATATGGTATGCTTCGATCTGGGAAACCGCATTTGCCATGTAGGTACGGTGCTCCATTATGATTCCCTTCGGTGTCCCACTGCTGCCGGAGGTGAATTGAATGTACGCAGCATCATCCGGTTTGACAGTGCTCGAAACGAACGTTACAGCATGGTCGGGCTCAGAAGAGTCACGGTCAAACAGACCTTCATCCACCGTTATCTCGGTAAGTCCGCTGCCAAGTGGTATCTCTTGGGTATTCTCCAGGTCTCTACCAACAAGTAGGACACTTGCACTCGTGGCCTGGAGAATATAGCTGCGCCTCTCCTCCGGATGGTCATGATTTAGGGCCACCGCAGCTGCACCAGCCTTCAGGATGCCAATCAAGCAGACAACTGACCACTTCGACTTGTGGAACAAAAAGACCACAGTGGACGAACCTGGATCAACGCCAGCCCCGTGAAGCCTCCAAGCAACACGGGATGAAAGAATGTCCAGCTGGCGATAGGTTAAATCACCGTCCCACGCGCAGATTGCAGGGCTGTCTGGCGATTCTTCTGCTCGTTTGTGTATCTCATCGTGGAGGCAGGCTTCGTAGGAGCCCAGGTCTCTGTCGTTCCAATACGCGATGTCGCGTGCGTCGGTGGCTGGCAGTAAGTCTAAGTCGCATAGCCGCTGGTCTGAATTCTCGAGGAGCTCTGAGATAGTTTTTGAGATCAGTTCCGCGAATCTTCTCGCCCGGGTCGCGTTGAAGATGCTGGATGGATAATTGACGTCGATTTTTCTTAGCGGCAGATTCACTTGGACCGCTACATACGCGTCCGTGCTCTTTTGACACTACAGCAACAGAAGACCTTTAGCAACTCTCCAGCATCAGGAAATGGGTATAAGGAACCTACCGGTGAATAACAGGAATGGACATCGTCAACTTCCTTGCTGGCCTCTGCGGCTCCCGATGCAGATCCCCGGACTGAGAGTATCGTGTCAAACAGGCCTGTTGAGCCAGCAAGATTAAGCAGATTCTGGCTGGAATCACCAACAATTGGCAGCTCTATCTCCTCAATCGCTTGTGAAAGACCCGAGAAAGTCTGCTGGCTACCGAGACGGCATCGAAGCAGGCTGCTGGTGCCGTCTGTCTCAACTCCAATACAAACGTCCTCCACACCGGCATAGCTGCCAACTGCTGAACAACAGGCGAGCTTCACAATAATACCCTCTGAGACTTGGTGAGACCGGCTGAATTCTACCAGAGAGTCACTATCTATTGCTTTTTCGATTGTCAAAGTTTGAAAATCGGCTGGAAGAGACGCTGCGAGGCGGCTTTCTTTGGCACCGAAGATGCAGCAGCTATCCCAGGTCTTCCACCCGGGCGTTGCCTCCTCTGATGCTGGCTCCATTTTCTACCCCGGATTCTCCTTGTTAGGGAAGCCAGATATCCAAAAGAACTGATATATCTGATTATCATACCTACGAATTGCCTATTTCTACAAGATATATACATTCGGTATCTTTTATTCCATGCTACAGTGGCCGAGAATAGGGTGACTGGCAAGTTATCACCCGAAGCGACGTATTCAGCTGCAGCCCTTGGTTTGGATAGTCATGCTGACACCACCCTCGCTCTTTGATCCCTGTGGCCTTATCAGCTAGTCATGGAACTGGTGTTAGGCGCTCAAGCACCTTGCATGTCAGCTGTCACCATTCGCGCAATGTCTGGGCATGCATCATTGACAGCAACCCTGCCAGGTTTCAAGCTGAATGGACACCATGCAGCTCAAATCGAACCACTGGGGTAGTCAATCTGATAGCATGGCTTTTGGCATGAAGTCAAGTATTGGGAGAAACTACTGCAATACTAATCAATATGGTGGGGAAATCAGGAAAATCAGAGCTTCGCTATACAAAACACAAATCAGGCTATATACCCCAGATACTAGACCATCCAAACCAGCGCTTCCCGTGGAAAAACAAGAGGGAAAGAAAGGCACAAAAATATAAATGAAAATCCGACCAGGTCCAGCTTCCAATGTTCATTACAGGGGGGCTCCGATGCCTCCCTATGAATTATCCCTTAGCAGTACTTCTACTGCCTCTATATTCCCCAGGGACGCAGCAATTTCAATGGGCATCATGCCGGATTTGTCAACAATATTCGAGTCAGCATTGTAATCTAAGAGCAACTGCATCATTTCGGTGTCATTAGTCTCCGCCGTATCGTGCAGGGCGGTCCGTCCCCGTTCATCTCTCGCATTCATATCCACGCCATGACGTAGGAGCAGCCGCACAACGGCTGCTTGCCGGTTGGCTACCGCTATAGCCATGGCGCTCTGCTTCTTGTCTCGAAAGCAAGGGCGAGGGCCACTAGATCCAGACCGTTGCCTGCCTGTAGTCTCCATGATCCCAGCCCTTGAGCCGGACTCCGATGGTGACTGTTGGCGAAGTGATGCAAGATCAAGTGTGTCACTAAGTGACGTGTCTCCAAAATGCAAGCTTAGATCATAATTCCCCGACAAAGGACTCCTCGTAACATCGGTATAGCTCGTGGCTGGCAGAGGTGTTTCACCGCTTCTAGGTACAGGGTCCGAGGCAGGTGGTGACGAAACCTTTTGAGCAACGGTATCTTCGGCGTCATGATAGTGGCCGTGGATGCTGTCCGGTTGGCTTCTAGATATCAGTTGTGTGTTTGGCTGCAGGTTCTCGGTAATCCCTCTCATGAACGCAGCATTCAAATTCGGATAATCCGGACGTAGTATCATTGCTGATGCTTCACCCACATCCTCACCCTGACCATCCGGCGATGCGTGACATGGGCTATCAAAGCTACCTCCTCCTAAGCTGCAGCTTACATCTGAAGTAAATGTGTTCCTTTGACCAAAGAAGGTCTGTTGGTTAGCCGCAATTGAAAAGGCATTCTCTTTAAAGGCTTGCAGCTCTAGATTTCTAGCTTGGAGCTCTACAATCTGGGCTTTTAATGCATTCCCTGCATAGGGGATCAAGTTAGCAACTCGCACACTTCGATTCTTTGACCACATAGTTACTCCAGAGGGGTTCCCTTTCTCTCGTGGACGAGCTAGTTGAAATGTCTGAATATGATGTAATGAAAGGATCCTTACGACGTTTTCTTTGCGCATCTCTATTCTGCTGGCGTCGTCGTTCAACCAGAACATCACTCGAAGTAGATGGCATCTTCAAAATGTCACCGCAGATTGCCTGTCTAGGAACGGTGGCTAGTTTGATTAACTGGCTACACGCCAACTCGGTTGCCGCACCACAATCCGGTGAAATGAGAAGCCTAGTGTGGCCAATATTCTTCCAATATAGGGGATATAGTTATGTTAAAGACAATCATAGGTATATTTAAGAAGGAGAGAGCCCTCGAGCGTCTGTATAGTAACGTTCGAGGGGTAAACAGCTGTGATAGGCATGGATCATGCAGGCGAGCTCTATCCCCTGAACAATTTTTGATCAATCAGTTCGTGGAATCAAATTGCTCCTGGCTACTTGCCGAAGCTAATGCGTATTATCCGTGGACTTCCGGCTGGTCACTCTTTGTTCTAGGCCAATGAAGTACCCTTGACGAGACTAATATTTTGGCTCGCATCCTTCTTCAGGTGGCCCTGTGATATAAATTTATCACACTGCTAATGGGGTAGTGCGCTCGCTAGATGGCTGGTTAACAGTGTCAAGGGTTTTTATCCCACCCCTTACAAAGCTGAAAGAGTGGCTATCAAAGTGGTTACTCATGCACCCGCAGAACAAATGGCTGGGCTTTCATTGTAGCTCCAGAAGAGCCAACAATCAGCCAATCGCTACCCATGCTAGCATAGGGCTGTCCTCGTTCTCGCCAACGGGCAGGGCTGAAGTGCATATCGACACCTTGCTGCCCTGAGCGTCCTCCTCTCGTTAGCCATGTCGCTTCGTTCGCATTAGCATGGCCCTACGGCAAAACAACCCCGGTGCAACGCATATATCCATGTCAACTGCCTGCACAGGTCCGTCGAAGCTGGGGGAGATGCATCCTAAGCCACAAAAGGCCTTGCAGACCCTTCGCGGGTACGGTCATCTGCGCATTCTCATGGAGGACTACAAGGTATCTTGCTCACTACTTTTTGCTGATGGATGATATAATATCAAATATTATGCCAGTCAACTTCGTACAAGTATTTGCATTTTCTGAGCAGAGTTCTCGCCCTAGTCACAGTTGACGGCGATCCCGTTCATAGGAAACAGACCCCAAATGGCATCACTCCCCTTGCTGTAGGATTGTATGCGTTTACGTGTGGTTGTGAGACCATACGACGCCGGAATGCTAAATAGGAGCCCTGCCTGACCTCTCCGACTACCTGATGCAAGAACACCCTGCTCCGTCACAGTGCATCGTACAGTCGAGATGAAAACAGCATGGAGTCTAAGGAAGCCTAGAACACCAGGCGTTCACTCAGACGGACACAAGCCCGATCAAAGAGCACATGAAAAGAGGGAAAGGAACATATCAGAAAAAGAAAGCTAGCGAAGTACTCCGTACGGAGTAGTCAGTTATCAATTGGTGGTCATAATGTCGAGTCGCCTAATTTCGATAACTAGCGACGTAAACAGCTTTTGCTTATTGGCTGGAGCTCAGCGAGCAGTCTTGCTTTTCTCCTATTAATAGTTACTCCTAACCAGTTGAAATGTATTAAATTTGATATACTTAGATCCCGGTATTGGGTTTGAAGTAGTCTATTGATCTTCTGAGTAGTTCTCCAACCAATAATGTAGCTTCCAGGTGTATTCAGAAATGCAGCCAAATAAATGTTATACAACTACCATTGGTTCAATATCTAGTTACATTGTTATAGTTATATGTTCATCAACAGAGCCACTACCCCGAACAGTAAAGAATGTGCTGACATAGTTTTCCATAACGGGTATATCAGTCTCTGGCAGTGTAGGAGGCGTATGCTGGCACCAACCACATCTAATTACCAGACCGCCAATCCAACACCGTGGTATCGTCCCTAGGCTGCCCACAAGGATCTGATGCGCAAGAGCTATGCACAAGAGAAACCGCTTTGATAAGAACATCGCGATCCCCTTGGAAGGTCAGCCGCCGTATGGCTTCGTCGTAGCTGAAAAATTCAGAGATAAACTCTGCCTCCCCATCCATCGTTTGCACATTCTTCTCAAGTTCCGCAATATACCACCAAATAAGCTTAATACTAGATCTCTCTTTGATCTCCCGAATAGAAAGCATAAATGGCTCCGTGAGGTTATGGTAAACTCTCGCCTGGTCAGTCATATCATTGGTATCAGTTGCTGATGGGTTTGTGGCGCGGGTTGGCATAGATATGGGGTAGAGGCGGCATTGGTATCCTGTCTCTTCTCGGACTTCCCGTAGAGCAGCCTCACGTCGTGATTCATTGTAGTTTCGTCGTCCTTTAGCCAGTAGCCATTCATCTTTCTCGATGTAGTAGATGAGGCACACTTTAGGTATCTCCTGCGAAAAATCAAATAAAACTGCACCGCTGCTCTCAACAAATTGCTCGCTGTGGTACTGGGCGGTTTTGAAAGCGGAGGAAGCCATTATATTTAATTTTCTGCTTGATGGTTTGGGTCAAATCTTTGAGCGGTGTCCGAGTTGTTTGTTTATGCAGTTCTCAAGAAGTAGAGTTATGAACCGACAAGTGGATATTTGATTAAAGTGTGAACAAGCGAGGGAAGGCAAATATGCTTGATAGGCGGGTTGGTTGATCCCTTCCACGGATTCCAGATGAACCCAAAGTTGCGCAGATGTTTGTCCTCGATTTTCGCGAGATTATCTCTGACCTTCTAGTGCAAAAGATAATGGCTTATAGATTGGAGTACATCTATACGATATACAATATAACCAGCTATTTAACTGCCAGGATAGGATCACCAGTAAGTAAGATGCGATTCCAATATCAAAGCACTCCGTAGTATCAACATGGGATACTACTATATCATTGTTATACCGATAACTATGGACGAAATACTCAGCCTGGTTACTTAATGAACGGGGAATACACATGCAAAGCTCCTTTTCAAGGTGGATGCGAATGATTTGCTCTGGGTCCTTACTTAGGCAATATCTCATTATACACGAATATTGCTCTTCTGCGTTGGTTTCCATGCCAATAAAGGATCTTCTGAAAGAGGTTGTTGCACATGAAGATGAAGAATAATGGTTATGCCATCTCCGCGAGTCTCATCTTCCACTTTTTTTCTCCTGAAGTCAATGCCTTCCTTCTTCTGTCTGCTGGAAGGGACTTTTTCTGCTTTCTATTCAGCATGGCAGCATGGGTGTTCTGTCAATTATACTTCAGGTGAGTTGATCATTTCCCAGGAAAAACAAACCACAGCAGCCTATTCTTTCCCTTTGATACCACCAATAGCCTTGTCAAAAGCATTGATGATCGGCCCATACAGAATCTCTGGATCCTTTGGTGTACCTGTGAAAATCGCGCCACCACGTATCGGAAACAAAAGACTCCGCAACTCCTTGCAGAGTGGTTTGACAGAGTCCAATTCCGGCGGAAACTCTCTTAGTATATCCTCAAATCCATTTGCGTCCATATTACCTCGCTTGGCCCTTGCTATCTTCTGAAATGTACCGGTATATCAGATCTGTGAACATACTGTCTGAGGGCTGATTCTTCAATCTATTCACATACTCCCAGCCGCGCCGACCACACTGATAGAGGAAAACGTAGAAGAATGACTCAAGATCATGTCGATATGTATGATCTGTGTTAAGCAGCACCTCGATAGCCATAAACTCCATGGTGCCAGTGCGATATCGCGCGCCGCTTCGCTCGGTGCCAATCTCCTTAGCAAGGTCCATGTCAATCAACATCCCCGCAAAACCAGTCTTCTTGGAATCAGTTATAATGATGTTGTTCTCAGAGATATCCCGGTGAAGGATTTTGCCTTCAAAATATAGGGATCTATGTGCCTTGATTGCATCACGGAGCGCTTCCAAAAGTTCCAGCAGAGACTTGTATTTATGGATCGGCCGGCCAGCCGGGAATATGACGAGACAGCGAAAAATGCGGTTATCATATGGACTGTTGCTAGGAGCAAGCAGACTAGTCCCTTGAGCTTCTTCAACGTCGTAAGAAACCTCATCCTGAGGGGCCGATTGCTGGCTGTTGGGCTTGGATCGCTTTGAGATCGGGCCAGTATGGATTGACTTGCGCTTCTTCGGACGCTCTGCGGAACTCTCTGCGATGGTTAGGCTATGGAAGTCGCTGACTGATCGGGAGCTGACACTGGGCGGCTGAGAAAAGGATTGTGAGCAGGACGACGGGGTGCTGGGTGTGCCACGGAAAGAATAGGGTTTCGTGAAAATCATTCCTGAGCGCATTTCCTTAATAGTGGTGATAGGCCGATGGCCAACCAACCTGACGATTCCTTTGACTCCTCGTTGGTTTGCCAATGTGAGAAGGTCCGCTTCAGGCTTCCGTCTGTCAGAGGTCCAAGAAAATTTGGCAACGTGATCCCAGTCGTTGGAGTCTGGGAATTTTGTGAGATAGCAGGAGGTTCCACGGCAGACAATGGCTCGTTGACGGGTTAGAAACTGTGGTTCCATCTGCAGCTTCATCTCGGTCCCCTCCTGCCCGATGTATATAAAGCGACGATCGTCGTCATGCTCTGTGAATGTGTCCAAACCTAGGTCCTCTTCATTCATCATTGTATAACCAGCAACCACCTGTATGAATCGTTCTGGCTGCTCATGGATATTAAACTTACCCGGACTGTAGCATCCTGAGCGGTCAAAGACCCACGTCGTCATTGAAGAGCCGCAGATTGTGAACGCGTGGAGGTACCGACGTGTCGGCTGACAGGCAAACACGTCTCGCACGTATCGGGCGAGCTGCACCAATGTCTTTTTGACGCCATCATTGTTAGATGCTTTAAGCTCACCAATCACCCAAATGTCCCGCCAGTCGTGTGCTGTGTCTGATTGTTTTCCGCTCTTTCGTTTGACAATCAGATCAACCTGCCGCCGGGCCTCGCCGCCGCTAAGTTCCTTTGGGATGTTAATTGTGTAGTAATGACATCGTTCCTTCGAGAGAAAATTGTCCTGCAGTCTGAACAGCCAGCTCAGCACTTGATCCTGGCTGGGTGAGTTGCGAAGACTAGCCCATTCGCGATTGACATATTGGTCCTTTACGGAGCTGTAGACATCCCGGGCACGATCTGTCCAGTGCTTTCCCTCAAAGTATTTCTCAAAGAAGCCTTGGACGTTTCGATATGTGCAGCCCCGTATCTCCTCAAAGACTCTTGCCTCGACTAGCCGCCGGGTCTGTTCACCACCTTGTTGCGAGGCGGAAGAATGGGTAATGGGTGTGCCGTCAAACGTGGGGGGAACACTTGCTGACGGGGTCTCCCTGGAGGACTTGTTGATGAGATCAAGAACAGCGCTCCAGATGTCGAAGTCGGACGCTTCTTGGATGATGAGCTTCACTAGCGGACGGTAGTGGGTGTAGCTGAAGTCGCCGTTTCGAACACGCTCAACTAGACGCACCATTTCCGACGCGACGTCACGACTGCTAGTCCTCGACTGAAGAACAAGAGCTGCTTCCGTACCTAGCAAAGTATAGAGCAGCCGTGACACTGCCTTCTGGTAGATGAGTTCAGGCAAGCCATCGGTCCCATCAAGAGATTCCACTTCCAGGAGTGACTTTCGTAACTGTTTGAGAGAATCATTCAAGGGACAGTCTTTAATAGTCCTGCGATCGTCTTCGGACAGGGAAGTCATTTCTGAAGATGAGAAAGGAGATTTGAACTCGGAATGAGGCACGAGGTTTCTAAGGCCGAGGGCTCGCTCGTTGTTAATCCAGGTATGACAGATGGTTTTGACCAGGCTGTTTGACCAACCGAACACGAGGCAGCGTTTCGTCTCGGATAACTATACGAAACGCCGACCCGCCACCCATTACTCTATATTAGGTAGTTACCTACCTAGTATATCCGCGTCAATGACGACTTCCTTGAGGACATAAGAGAGCACATCGCTGACGACCCGGTCCTCTCAAAAGTAAGGCGTCATATTAAACAAAAGGACCTCTCGTCATTCCACGGTTTCCACATGGAGGACGATATTCTGTACTACGCCAGAGTCGCCGACGACACCTCCTTAAGGACGCTCTCGAGCTAGCACACGACTATAACAGATACCCCCTTGGCTCTTACCTACCTCGTCACTAGTCTCCTCACTACTGCTTAATAAGGGGGACCTACGCGATTCTCTGCGTGGCATATTAGCACTTGTCTTGGTACGAATGGCACTCGCAGTCGCAGAAACGTGAACATTACCCCGGATTGCAAAGGGAGACTATATATTCTTTAGGGTGGCTAAGTTAATAGAGAAGGGTTATACCCTACTGAATTTATCCAAGCTCTTAATTATTAGACGCGGCCCCTTCTGCGTCACGCAAAAAGTCTCCGACCTCGCGTATAGGTTAGAGCTACCTGCCTCTTAGAGGATACACCCTATTATCTCGGTAGCCTACTTGGAGCCCTACGTCGCTAACGCCGCGGATTTCCTATCAGAGGACAACCTGGAGCCACTGCCTATCTGAGTAGGAGAGCACGACGAGTGGGAAGTCAAGAAGCTAATAAGACAGAACGGAGATCGAGTGTTAGTTAAATGGAAGGGGTATAGCAAATGCACCTGGGAGCTAGTGGATACTATTAAGGAGGACGTTCCCGGCCTATGGGAGATATTTGCAAAATGAAAATAGGAGAAATAAAGACGTCGCCCGAGCGTTGCTGCGGTCATACAATCTCACTTGCCAACCACATCAACTGACAGGACATTCTCTCACTTGCCACTTACATTACGCCCTTACTTTACGTCAATTTCTCTTACCATCTTACATTAATCCATCTTATCAATCAAGGGCAGGCTGAAATCGGCAGTGACTTGACAAACTCTCGTTTTCGGTACCCCTCACTCTCACGATGCATCACGAT